CAAATCGATTAACAACAAAAATGACCCTATTTAGGTTTTCGAGGTTAGCGCAAGTTGGAATTTACCAATAATCTCTCAGTAATTGGATTATGTCAGAGATCACACAACATGATGAATATGTTAATTATGTTAATATGACTGATTTGGAAATTTGTTTGTAGTACAAGTACATTTTATATACTAATACCAAGGAATATTTGTTTAATTACTTTAAAATTGGTTACACATTTACTGTGCTACTTGCATTATTATTACAATGAACATTTTCAATGCAGGGGTATAACCACGTTCAATTTGTCTTTTTGTCCTTTTACTTGATACTTCCTTTCACAAAACGACAGACTAGCCACTGGACTGGTAGAATATTTTCATACACATTTGGCACCCCAAAGCTCTGTGTGATAAAGTTTTTCAAAATCGCCCTCATCAGTAAGTAGTTGCTGTTGCAAAAGTACATTAAAATACACCTGATATCTGGATGGCTTATACCAATCAACTATACATAAATAATGATCAGCAATCCATGTATTAGCACTCTGTGAATTCATTTCCAGCAGCATCAATCAATGCCTAAAATAATAGACAACCTCTCCTGGGTAATGAGAAACATTATCCTCATCATTCAAGAAACCTTCAATAATGCATGCATTTAAATCTGACTCAGACAATAAAGATCCAAAAGTTTCATCACCAACATGTAAAGCACTTGCTTAAAAAATAGTAAATACAACTTCTGCCTATATTGTTAATTCCATTATGGAACTTATAGCCACAATCTGCATACACCATCTCATAGTAGTCCTTTAACAAGTCTAACATCCTATCATCTAATTTTGCTTCAATATAATGTCTGCTTAATTCCCTGGAAAATGTTCAGTTTCCATGACATTTATAGTGCTAAGATGTAGAGACATCTCCCAAAAAGCAAGCATTTCTTCAGCTGCAAAATTGTAATTCCTTAGGGTTCCTCTTCCATTATTAATGGGTGAACAAAGTGAGTTGATCAATACTATGACATCATGTGGAAATTCGTTTGATGCTGCAGTAAATGCATGTGCCACATTAACCTGATGGTTAATTCTTGTCATCACCTCTATCTCCATTGATCAACTCGAGTTTGGTTGTAGGACAAGATCCCTTAGAATTATAAAAGTCATAATGTCAGATGAGATGAGATAATAATAGACTGCAAAACAATAGTTTCTTATTTACCCATCCATATGCTCATAGGCAAAACACCAGAAGCTATAAAAAGGTCCATAATCAACAATGCATTCTTGCAAGTGTGTATGAAAGTGCATATTAGGCATGATAAGATGCTCACCATATAAGTTTTCTGCTTCGCATAAAAAAGCTAACATATGCTCTTTGCCCTGGTCTACTTCATTAATGGTTGCTATTCTCTGACTCCATAATGTAACACACCTGACAAAATGCTGCCAGCACCACCTATCGTCTTCTTCAAGAATGTCATGTAAAGCACATGTTGAATATACCAATACCCACATTTTCCATTGATCAGCAGTAAAGCCTGCAAATCCCAATGCAATCTTGTGCAGAATTTGACCAATATCTGATGGTATGGGTATTGAGTCAATGATCCTCTGAATTGACTTTAATTGTTTGTTGTTGATTCTGTCTGTGGATAACCATGCCTTTTCTAACATTCTTTTTGAGGTTCCAAGGAAAAGGTTATGCATAGGATTGTTGCAGTCAGTGTATTCTTTGGGTGGGAGAGCCAATGATCTGTCGCGTAGGTGTGTTCACTGACAGGGGGATGTTACCAAATTTAACTCAGATTGCTACCCTTACTAATAGCAATTGTCTTTACAACTGAATCAAATTTATAAGTGACTATATTTAATTATGCGCGCTTAACTAACTCCCTAAATGAAGTAAAACTCTACTCGTTTCTAAGTAAGGGTACCTATAACAATATCGTTACAACTACAATATTGTTACAGAATCGAAGGGGAATAATTTTAAATTTAAATAGGGCAGACTTCGATTTAGTGTTTTGACTAGTTGGGTATCTTGTCACTTCTAATTTAAAACGATAACTAATTAAATGAAATAAATGGGAGAATCTCGATTGAATATTAATAAGACTCGCGTGCACTCTTTAATTAGGTGTATCTTGCTCAATGGGTATATCGCTAACCGAAGTATCTGCGAATAGTCTTTAAGCGAACTATCTCAGACGTCAACCCAGCAAGTATCAATATTCAATGTCGATTGTATAGAAAGATAATAAATGTGGATAGTATATGATTAATTATCAAAAAGGAATTTGCAATAATTTTATTTCCTTGGATAAGAACAAATCTGTGGATTATTATTTCAAACAATGTATCGAACTGAACAATATACGAAAACATAAACAACATGAACACCATGAGGTTTTGATGATAAGAGAAGTGCTACTTATATAAGACTACTATCACTAAAATCAGTGACCTGAAATTACTAATTTCAGATTTGTGCTAATCACTAATTTTTGTTACTGAAAATTACTATATCTATTCGTTGTTTATATCTCGTATTATCACCAGTTTCAGTGACTGAGAATTACTAAGTTTAGCTATTGTTTGTATCTTGTACTATCACCGATTTCCGTTACCGAAAATTACTATATTTGAATTCTAGTGTGACAGTGTTAAAATTAAATCGCTGCAGGTAGTATTTTGACTGCGGAGGAAGATTTTATCACATGATTTCATCGGCTGAATCATCAGACCGACTCGTCGTAACAGGATCAATGAACTTCCCCAAGAGCAGCAGTACTTTTTTGCACTCATGTGACATTTTCTGTGACATCATCACACTTTTAGCCAGTAAATGATAGCATTGCAAATTCTTTTTTTGCTGTTACATGCTTATTGCTCTTTTGGACTAGCTCCTATTAATGTATTTCTTAATAAAGATTCATGTTCTAAATCAAGAAAACAAAAATCAAAACAATTCAAATTAGGAAGAGAAAAGTATCACATGTATATTTTTATCATGTGTCAATACATAATGATAACTTAAGTTAATACATTATCAAATTAGAAAAAAAGATAAAGTATATTTTAACTACCCCAAGATCACCAGAATCAGTTACAGTAATGTGACCATCTGTATGACATCTTCAGCCAGTCATCAGCTTTGAAATCTTGTGTCGCATGTGGGATTTTGGTGTTGCATGCAGATTTCTTTATTTAGAACTGAGTTGCATTTACATTTCCTAATAAGAGGTTATGTCCTAATCGAGAAACGTTTAAGGAGTAAGTATAAAAAATATAATTGAATTT